GAGATGAGTGGTGCTGCCACCACCGAGACAGAAGTCAGGTTGGGCGCTTGCACAACACCACCTCTTCTTTTGACAAATGCCATGTATTCTAGATAGACTACATTAGCAACAAAAACTGGGTAGACTGCAAAATTTACCAAAAGAGAGGATAAACCATTGGGTTAAACATTAATAGGTTTGGAAGAAAAATGTACTAGATCTTTTTGCTGGCGGTATTAGGTCAAACTTGTCATTTGTTGTCAGCTTGAGGTTATACTTGTCAATAGGAGGACCTGAGAGCTCTATATAAGACAAAGAAAAGCTTAGTATGCCACACAAATACCATAAGAATATAATCATTAAATATTTGGGGAAAGAAAGGTTACATATTTAAGTGGTGTGCTATTATTTAGAAGTTAAGGAAACTCAATGTATAATCGGATAACAAGTGTAAATTCTTAAATAAAAGGATACATATCTAGAACTGTGTACCTAGACACAAACACATTTGTAGTATTTGAAGTAGTATGTGACATTGTAAAATCTTCATCATACTCTAGATCACATGAGAATGAAACTAGTGGTGAAAGAGCCCCAATCTTCTGTGATTTGTTAAGGAACTGAACATGAGCATAATGCTATAAATACCTGCAACACATAACAAAGATGAATAGAAGCAAGCGAAAATTATGATAAGATAAAACACTCCAAACATTGATGGTGCTAGCCAAACAAACACTCAATATATGATATTTCTTTCTCATCAATCCTTGGGTGTAGTCCATGGTCTTATCTTTGAATGGTTCTACCTACGTAACTACATAGAGCAAATCATATTTATTTTTATTTGTAATACACTATTTCAAATATCTAACACACTTCGTACAACTTTTGTATAACATACCATTTTCAAAACAGAGAAATATACAATGAGACAAGATGTGATTAATATTATGTAGCCTTGAACTTTTTATTGGTGATCAAGCAACAATCGGATAATTACAGAGGACTAAACTGGTATATATTAAACAGTATCGCCCTCCTCTTGGAGTTGTGAGTTAGCAAAAAAATCTTTCAGTTGTGAAAACACTTAGCTAGATTTTTGGGTGTTTTGACAATAAGGCGCCAACCAAGAATTTCTTCTCTGTACATGTCATGTAGACATAAATATTATCTTTGACCACTTCTGCATACCTGGGAACTAATCCAGCCGATAATGAATTTGTTTAGTGTATTAAGAATTAATTCAGCCTGTAATCATTTGTTTTGCACATAAGAAATTAGAAAGCTTAATTAACATAATCAATTATTTAATATAAAAGATGTACTATCAAAGATTTATTTGCCTCTAACTTATGAACACATGTTCTCTTTGGATGTCCTTTGGATGACGTTGGGCCGAGGCGGTCGTTTGGTCCGACGAATCGTCGACTCCAGCGGTTCGGTCTGCGGTGCGAGTAGCCATTGGGCGCTAACAGCTCCCTTCAAATGGCTAATACACATGGCGCGATTTCAGGGCGTCGACCTTTGCGAAATGGTCCAACGACTCATGTCAGTCGGTCCGACGACTGGCTTCGATCGGTCTGACGCCCCTGATTTTTGCACAATGAAAGGCAACGACTAGTTGGTTCACTTGGGGCTTATAAATAGGAGTTGGTCGGCTTGTGGCTGGCTCTCTTAGCTCCCTAACACATTGATACACCTTGTGAGCACTAGCAAACACCTCCCTCTCATCTCCTTATTCATTGCTTCATCCTAAGTGAGATTGGAAGTGATCCTAGTGCGTTTGCATTGAGTTCAGGCATCTATTGGCACTAGTGATCGGGTTTGAGGTACAGGATTCTTGTTACTCTTGGTGGTTGCCGCCACCTAGATGCCTTGAAGGCGGTGGAGGATCGTTTAGCGACTTTGGTAATTTTAGCCGGCTCTGATCGATTGATTGTAAGGGGCTCTTGTGCTCATTCCCCGCGGGAGATCATGAAGAGTAACTCTAGTGGAATCATGGCTACTTGGAGTGCGCTTCTTAAGTGGTTCTTGTGGCGCCCGTGATGTGGGCTTGGCATGTAAGACCAATTAGCGCCCGAACCATCAAGTTGGGACTCGCCACAACGGGGACTAAGTTGCCGACAAGCAATCGAACCTCGGGAGAAAAATTTATTATGCCATCTCTCTTGCCCGGTTCGGTGTAAAGCTCTACTCTTGAAATTCATTCACTAGTTCTCTTGTGTAGTGCTTGCTTGCTCAAGCAGTTTGAGTAGTTGTAGCTCTCTTGTTTAGTGTAGCTAGAGTAGCTTGTAGTTGTAACTAGTTGTAAGCAGCTCTCTAGTTAACTCTCTTGTGTAGCTGAGTAGTTGCTAGCTTGTGTGTTGGTGTGATACAACCTAGAGACCAAGCTACTAGTATTGATTAGGGGGCTTGCTTGAGTGAGATAGAGCTAGTGCAAAGTAGAAGCTAGTTAGGATCATTTGTTATACTAACCACTTTGCCCTAATGAAATTGTGAGTTTGTAGGAAATTTTTGTAGGCTATTCACCCCCTCCAGCCATCTAGATCCTATAAATATGTTAGGCCATCTATGATCTGGACATGATGATGCCATGTGGTGGCTTAATTTTGGTGTGCTTAGGTGTGATCCGGACATGTGAAACTTGGTGTGATTTGTGCTTAGATGCAATCTGCACATGTGAATTCTTGCATGATGGTGCAAAATATTATGTTTATGTATTATCTAGATATATGTCTTTTATTACCTTGTTCCGTTGATGCTTACAAAATATTACATTTGTACATTAACACAAAATCTGTGATGTCTTTCGTCCAAAATATATCCGCAACAAGTATGCAAACAAAAAAATCCTATTGCATTTGTGTCTCTTCAGCTTTCACTTAACACTGTTAAGTGTCCTTCACGGAATACGGGTAATTAGAAGCTTCAGATTCAAAAAATAGGGTAAATCTACAAAGTTTTTTTTAAAAAATAGGGCAAATCTACAAAGTTTAAAGAAAGACAAACGCATAACTAGAATTTAAAACGAAGACAGTAATACAAATGTCTTTTACTTGTTTTGTCACTCAATCAAAAAGATTTCATGGATGACGTCACCTCGCCATGATGGTCTGTGGAGCTGCTACGAGCGGAGGGGGCCGAGTCGATCAAGATCGTGCTCCGCATGCTGTGGGGCACGCTGGCCCATCTCCATTATCATTTTTTTAGGTTAAGGAATAAAAATCATTCGGACCTCCCAAACCCAATACTTAGACCAAGTTCCACTAAGTGGAAAGTATTAAATAGAAATCAACTCAAATGACCAAACCACACTTAACAACAAACTTCACCTAAGAAGCTTAGTTTTCCATCCTTTTTTGGTGTCTCCATCCCTTCTCTCCAAAAACTTGTAACATCAACACTTCCAAACGCCTACAACCTTCCTTCAAAGCCCTTCTCACTTCCTCTTTAGATAACAGGGACCAATGCCTGATCCAGTATGCCTCCATGAAAAATACTTGTAAGGAGTTGTATTTTTATTTTGAACATCTGTATCATTTCTATTCAACCACATAACCCAAAACACACTACTGCCAACCCCACTATGATTTGGTTTCTCAAACTTGGGGCAAAGCTCCTTATCCAAGATCTAAACATGTGAACAATATCTTTAGGTAGTTGAAAGTTAAAAGCGATGCACAGTACATTCCACACTAACCTAACCAAGCGACAATCAAAAAGAGGTGTTGCATAGATTCCTGTAAACCACAAAAGTTACACTTAGTATCCTCTTTCCAACCCCTCTTTAGTAAATTGTCCTTTGTAAGGATCACCCCCTCTTTACAAACCACAGTGCCTTGCAGAATAAAGCTTTCCCATAAACTCTCTTTCTTCATGTTCACTCTATAGAGAGTTTGAGTTGAGAAGACCTTATTTTTGGTTAACAGCCAAATGAATTTGTCCTGTCATTTAAAGTGGCAGGCAATGCTAATGATACCAGCCTAACCCATTCCTTTAACTTGTCACTAACTGTCGCCCTTCTAAACGAAATGTTCAGAAGGGTTGAAGTTAGCACTTCTGCTACAGTGACACCTTTTGTTCTCACTATTCTGCGCAGATGCAGGAACCTTAGTTTTAAAAGTTTCTGGTCAATCCAAATATCCTCCCAAAATCTAGTTTGGTTATCGCTATTGACTTTGAATCTCCAATTTTGAAGCAAAAGATCCTTCACATCCATAACACATCATGCCCAAAAATGGGAGTCCCCGGTTGCTTTACTACTTGTGATAAACATTTGTCCTTCACATACTTCCTTTTCAAAACATCGTGCCAAAAACCTTCCTCGTTCAAAAGCTTGAACAACTGCTTACCGAGTAAGCAAGAGTTCTGAACTTCTTGGTTCAAGATTCCTAAACCCCTCATACGTCTTGGCTTGCAAAGAATACTGCATTTAGCAAGCCTATATTTCTTGTTATGGTCATCACGGTCTCAGAACAACCTAGACCGATAGTAATCCAGCCTTTTAAGTACTCCTTTAGGAATAGCAAAAAAGGACATCATGAACATCTGTAAGCTAGATAACACTGAGTTATTGCTGAGGTTTTTCTGGGAACGCTCTTCAACTGAACTCCAATGCTTATTTGACAGCTTGTGAAAATGCATTGGAATACCTACGTATCGGAAAGGGAAGCTTTTGTCCTTACACCCAAACAGTTGTATATATTGCTTACTCAGGTTTCTAGTTGAGCCGAAGCAAAACAATTCGCTTTTATGAAAAATAATTTTTAGGTGCTTTTGAGAAGTTGTACTTCTCCATCATCGTGTCTCTATTCAATCGCTTCTACTCTGTACTGAACAAAAACTAGAACGAATGAATCTCTCTTGACTTAACATAGAATGAGACACAAAACTACTACAACCTCACAATTAAACTTAGAATGAAATAGAAAACAAGTACAGATCAATCCCTCGCAAATAAATATAGAATGTGATAATCCTCGTCCCATAAAACAAGGACGAATCCATATATCGCTGCACTATTCTGGCCTCGCGGCTCCGATTTCTATGACGACCTTGCCGGTGGCGTGGCCGCTCATGCTCTTGGCCCAGCCTTCGTGAGCACTGCCCAGCGGATGCCGGGAATCGATGACCGTCTTGAGCCTCTCCTGCTTCAGCATGCCCAGCAGAAGCTCCATGTCCTCCTTCTTGGGCATCGCCAAGAGCAGCACCAGCCTCTTCTTGGAGAAGGTCAGCATCTGGAGGATCGCGGTGACGCCGGCCACGAACCCGGGCGTGATGTCCACGACCGTGCCCTTGGCGGCGAGCACGGGCCTGAACACGGACCAGGGGAACCCCGTGGCGCAGTGCACCACCGCGTCGTACTCCCTGCCGGAGGGGCTCCGTAGCTTGGCGCCCTCGGGGGTCTTGTAGTCCAGCGCCTCGTCGGCGCCCAGGCTCCGGACCAGGCCCAGGTTGCGCGCGCCGCAGGTGGCCGTGACGTTGTGGCCGCCCATCCTGGCCAGCTGCACCACGAAGTGGCCGACGGCGCCGGAGGCCGCGGTGACCAGCACGTTCTTGCGCGTAGTTGTAGAGGCGTGGGCCGGGTCCAGGTTGACCCCGGCTCTCTGCAGCGCCAGGAGCGCGGTGACTGCGGCAATCGGTACGCAGACGCCATCAACGGCCGACACCTCGGGAGGCCTTGCGACTGTACGAGACGCTGACGCGACCGCGTACTCAGCGAGCCCTCCGCCGTTCTGCCATTGCCGTTGCTTGTGCATTAGTACTTAGTAGAACTCAAGTAGCGACCAAATACTTGGAACGAAACAGATCGGATGTTATAGGCCGCAAATCAAATTGTTTGCAAGTACGACGATCTCACAATCTTACCGGGAAGTTGATGGCAATAACCTTGTCCCCTGGTTTGAAGTTGCTCACTCCTGCGCCCAACTCCACGACTTCTCCTGCTAGATCGAAACCTGCTCCAGAAAGCAAACATGGTGGGTGATTATTCGTCTGTGCAACCTTACCCGTTCTCCTGTGCACTCGGTGCGTCAAAAATGAAGTGGCCGTCGATCAAACAAGAGGGGGGAGAAGTGGCCAGCGGCACAGCATGGCTCTGCAATCTGCATGTTACCAGAGATAAACGGGAACCTCCTGGGCAAGAAGGGCCGCGCGATGCCGTTCTGAAACCTGAGGTCGGCGACGTTGATGCTGGTGGCCTCCATCCTGATGAGCACCTCGCCTTTCTTCGGCGACGGGATCGGCACCTCCACATGCTGAAAATTCAGCGGAACAGCGTGCATCATCGATCAATGGCGGAGTTGGACACACCAGATCATATGCGCGTCGATCGAAAATTCGAAATAGTACTAATAGCGTAGCGTACCTTGAGCCCTTGTGCTCCTCCGCCGTATCTGTCGTACTGCACGGCGCGCATCGTACCGGAAGGTGCAGCCATGGCCGTTCCAGGAACTGAGGAGGAGGGAAATGAAGAAGGAGGTGGCACCGGGCTTAAGAATGGTGTTGGTTTGGGTGAGTTTGGCTTACAGAAGGTTTCTGCTCTTTATAAGCCGCGAGGGCGCGCAGCAGACCTGTTTGACCGGCGCGGCGGAAGGACGTGGCCCGGATGTGCACCGCATGGCGGTATGCTCCTCGTATACAGCGGCACATTGCCGTTGTGGAAAAGCGGGCTTCCACCCTCGTTCGTTCCTCCGGGTTTGTGGCCACGGACGGCCTGGCGGCTGGCAAGCATAGCGGCTGCTTCCTTGCGGCAGGAGGCAGAGAGCCAGAGACAAGTCAGCCTGCCGACGACAGTGTGCTGTCGCCTATTCCCGCTGTGGACTCGTTGCAGGCATGCGATGTCTACCTGACCGTCCTGAGTTTTAACACTTGAACGACAACCACCTTTGTCAACCAGATTACTCGAGTTATAGCGAATCTTTTTTTTCCCTTACATACACATTGATGGGCTGATCTATCTAACCAATGAACATCGTATGATTGGGCTAAGTCAGGACATGTCAGATTGTTTCATGGCCCAATTGGCAATTGGTTCATTGGTTGGTTGGCTCCTCCTCCCATTTCATCCGCCGACTCGTCGTTGCGGCAAGGAAAACGACCGATAGGATGCTGTGTTTCTTTTTTTTTCTTGAATGCCTCAGTACTTCGAGGACAAACTGTGAACTTAAGCACTTACTCACACCACGTACCACTAGCACGTAAACGCACACACCCTGAGCATAAGCTAGAACTACACCTATACAACTATACCTAAAGACACACACGGCTGAGAGGTATTTGAAGATCATCAGACTCTAAGCATGACGAGCACGACACCTTAGCCATTGTGGAGCATCCACGCTTAAGGCTGCATTTTCTGCAAAGAAAGGTAAGGAAAAAAACTGATGCGAAAACCCACGTGGAGCAGCGTCGAACGCTGGCGGTGGACGAGTGACACTTCGTAAGGTTGACTCAATGATCTGGGCCGATGCCGGATAGTACTTGTGTTGTTGGGTCGGGTTTAAACCCAAAGTGAGGTTTGCAAGTAGCGCATACTCTCCCCGTTCTGGAAAAAAATACGTACAGCTCTTATACTTCTCCTAAAAGGAAAATACATTTAAGTTTAGTCAAATTTATATAAGAAAAATACTAATTCATTTCTGGGTATTCTTAGGAATAACCAACTGTTTTGGAAAGAGAATTAGTGTATATCAAGTGGCTTGGCAATACAGCTATATTCCTCTTTCCTATATCCTCAAATTCATTTGAGCCAAACTCTAGATCCGATCAAAACACACATGGTGTGCAAGTGGCGGTTCGGTGCACAACAAGGACGGGGCGAGGGTGCCCTCTGCCCTCTGTGCCTTGGCAAATGACTCTGTCATCTCGTCCAATGACAGAGTACTATCGGGCATGTCACCATCTTGATTTTCTCCAATCATTTTTTCCATTTGCTAGGTAAGCGAAGAAAAGTGCTTTTTGATTAGTCTCTTCTTGTTGGTTGAAAACTGTGGAAACGCGGTGGATTCCTCACTATTCGGTGCCTGGCAAGTAAGGAACCTACAGTTGGAGAAGTGCGTTTGTTTGAATCTTAGAAACCGCTCGTGGCCTTATATTAGACTAACAATGATGATTTAGGCTTAACAAATTACTTATCAGATCAGTTTGCTTGATAGTAGATTTATTGAACTTTTCTTTATAAATACCACCCCGTCCCGTAATATAGCGCATTATAAAAATTTTAGAACAACTTAAAAGAATAATCAAACGACGCACATACCCATGGATTAAATCCAATTAAGAAGTTTTTGCTCAAATTATGGTTTCCTTTTTAGTAAACTTTGTCAAATCTAAACATAGTCACAACATAGAATGAATTATATGTTAGTACAAATTTTAGAAGTCACGATACACCGTATTTCAGGACAGAAGGAGTATGAATACACAACACTAAAATTCTAGGTTCGACAATGGTAGTCATGTGTGTCACCCAAATGAAATAAAACGAGAGCACATCTTGAGCAACCAAGCCCCACCTCCTATGAAATGGATCTATGTTAGATTGCAAGTGGGGCGGGCTCTTACCGCAACCCGCATGCTCGCCCCGCAAACTTTTGTTTCGTGGCTACTGTGGCCCAGCTGCGATTTCTTTGTGGCTTGGTGTCCTTTAACCCGTGAAGCCCGTTGGTGAAAAGCCAGAACCCGAAAAAACCCGCAACAATTGCACCTCCCCCTCCCAAACCCTACCGCGCTATCGCCGTCACGGTAGCGTGGCGTCGTGCGTCGCCATCCTCCTCGCTCACCATCCTCCCGAAGACCCGAACCCTACCGCTGTCGCAGATGGGAACGTTGATTCCGGCCGTGGCAGGCAGCGGAAACCTGGCCCTCGGCTCGAGCTCCTCCATGATGGAGCAAGAGGAGGCGGGAGAGGATGGGGGCCATGAAGCCTGCAAGATCCAGGCGCCGGCTTCTGCAGGATTGGGGCGCCAAATCTGGGTGTGGCTTCATCGTCCTGCAATTTCTTCCAGACAGATAAATATGGGTAAGGATTTGCTTGGTTCCCTTTGGTTTTGGTTGTTTACCTATGAACTGATACGGAGTGGAGCAGATTGTAGAGTTGACACTCATAATGCAGTTCTGAATGTCTGAATCTCTGATGCACGCTTGTGCTTATGTTTACAAGATTGGTTGAGAGCTGAAGGTATGTTTGCCCTTGAATTTATTTCTGAATTCTTGAATGCTTCTTAATGTAGCTATGCACCTATGCTAAACTGAATAAGCTGCTCGTATAGATTGCTGGTGTGTATAAGTTTCTAAAAACCACTAGTTTAGTCTATCCAAACAATTATAAAAACTCTGGTTAGCAGCCATGATCTCATAACAAACTTGTAATCATCCAGACAATTGAGAAGCACCATCTATTGCATTTGCTGCATATAGGAGTATATGATTGATAGTACTATAGATACAACATCTAGCTAGCTAGTGCAGTGAGCTGACAATGCTGATTTAACCAATAAAACCCCAACAATGCATTATGCATGCGCACTATACCCTGCGGCACTGCTATAAACTAGAACCAGAAACAGCTAGCAGCAGTACAGGGGGGCTGAGTGAGATCAGTGCTGCTATGGATCACTCACTGTGCTTTGCTTGATCAGATAATGGAGGGGGCACTATTGGGCATTGGCCACTCGACCTGCACAAACCAAAAGCTAGCATCCATGCATGCATTTCAAGAATTCAAGTAAAAAAGAGATCGATGGCTGGCTGGCTTCCCTTTTATTATCAATAGCATAGTGCCAGAGTCTATATAGTACTCTAGTACTGAATTAGATCTCTGACTGTTTTGAAACCTATTGATGTTGAAGCAATTTAAGTTGTAAATATCAGCACTTCATTGACTGGAGATGATAGATCAATGAAGTTAATAGACATTTTCATTGAGTTGATACTTAATGGTATCACATAGAAGCTAATAGACATTTTCTTATTTCAGGCCATTCTAACTTCAAGACAACAGAGGATACAGGTGAAGGAGAGGATCAGTTGGAATAAAAATTACAACTTGTCTGCTAGACTGCTACCTTGTGATGCCTGCACTCTGTAATACAGACTAAATTCCATTTTGACTGTAAGCGAATTTGCAACCTGCTTGCTGTACGATAAGTGGTACAAAGCTGTACTCCGTAATAGACATTTTCTCTAGACTGCTATCTTGTCTGCTTGCTGCACTCTGTAAGCGAATTTTGACGTACAAAGCTGATTATTGATATGTACAAAGCTGTCTGCATATGTGCTTGCGGACGTTAGCGGCTTTGAAACGTTTGTCCGCCAGTCCCATTGGCCGTTCGCGGCCATAGCGTTGCGGCTGGCGGACTCCCGCAAAGCCCGCTTTATAGCTTGATGGCCAGCTTAGCCCCGCCCGGCTTCGGGCTTTATAGCTCCACCGATGGCCAGCGTGCTCTCACAGTGGCTGGGGAAGGAGCCAAAAATAGTGTCCACCTTATTCTACATTGCCCGAGAGCACATTTTAAAAAAAACTATATATGTGCAATCTTTTGAGATCTATAGAAAGATCGTGTTTAGTGGCTCTCCACGAGATCTATGAAAAGATGGTTTCAGAAATGGATTCAGATCTCAGTTCAGAATTTAGAAACTGTAGTAAGGGAAAGGGAACACTACGATGCATTCTTCATCCTCGTGGACTAGCGGGCTAAGATGCTCTCCTACATGGAGTCACGTGTCGACAGATCAGGGTGACCAGCGAGTCACAGCATAGTCGGAGTCTCGTAAAGGCAAGGTGTTGTAACTTGCTTCACACGGCACGACTCAAACAACATTAATTGGTGATGCTTCGCAATACTTCGTTCTACATACTACATATATCATATATGAGGGGCACCTTCGGCTTAATTAGGAACCTAGAGCGGCCGCCTTATCGACCTCCCCCCTCAGTCTTATCTTGGTCTGGTACCATTTCATAAACTTGTACAAATCTCCTAAGATGTTATTTGGATGCATCGTATTCAACTTAATACATATATGTTGAAATAGATTAGGATAAAACTTAGTTTAATTTTTATCCTGATCCACCCAACACATACGCCATCTAACCAATGCTTCTTTAAGCAAGTCTAGATTGTGCGTCTCCTCGCATTTTGGATCTATACAATTAATTGGACGTGTGAATTCGTGAGCTAGCACACTTAGGGCAGTCCCAACCCTGAAACTAGTCTAGTTTCCATAAAAATAATTAGACTGTTATGTCATCATTTTACTGATGTTTTGCTGATGTCGGAAGAGAGTTAAGGAAGAGAGAGATAGAAACCGTTTCTTAGGTGAGAAACCGAGTCGGCTCGTAGTCGGTAGTCCTATGCGCGAGGAAACGACGTATTCGGTGCTGGGGCAGTAATCTTCGTTTCCATCCCCATGCTTCAGGATCCGTTGTGCTGGCTTCACCCATCCATAGTTGAAGCTTTTTCTCTGCACGCGGCCTCTAGCGTTCCATCGTGCCCGCTCTGTTGTACGCGGAGAAGAAGACAACCCCCAGCGGCGCCGCGGCGCCCTTCGCTGGAAAGACTACAAGCGGAACGCTCAAGATCTCATGCGAAGAAGCCCACGCGACTATCTTCTTCACCCTCGTTATCGCCCAATTCGATTCCGTGTTTGTTCCATTCGGGTGAAGTGTGAAGATTTCTTTCATCTGTCGTGATTTGGTTTGGTTAGTTGCTAATTTGCAGCCTCAAGGCCGAGTGCCTCAAGCTGTCAAACACGGAGTCGAAGAGGTAGTCTAGTTTCTGTTCTCTTCCGGTTCAGAGCTGGATAAACTCGCAATGGCCTGATTGGCTGGTCGTGGAAATATACATCTTTGTTTACAGATGGTCTCATTTACCGTAGTGAGATATACAGTACAATAGAGCAAGATATATGTACTCATGTTGGCTACTTATTTGATTGCCAATTGTCATAGCTGATCCATCTCTTTTTTATGGTGTATTTAAGTTGTCCTCTATATTGAAACTACTATAGAAATCATAGTTTGAGAGGGATAGTCTCTAAGGATCATTAATTGTGTTCTCTCCCTCTTGGAAACTATCCATAGAAACTATGGGTTGGGAGTGCCCTTTGTACCTATTTTTATCTCCACCTATAAACTTTAGAGCCCTAAAAATTTTAGAGCACTTTAGACGGGTTAAAATCGCTAGCTCGGAAGTGCAGGTAGCCAACCAGAAGGAGGGAAGTTACCGCGCTAGTGAGCGCTCAAACGCCTGGCCCGCACGTCTTCCTACAATTGCTCAGTCTCTAACACTTCACAGTAAGAGTAACTTTTTCTTTTTTAGTTGTTTCTGATGTCCACCTCAGCCATCGATTCTTACCCGCTGTCGGCGACGCCCTTAGCTCACTTTTGAGCTCTAAAGTTCTAATGTAAAGAGGGCTAAAGTTTAGAGCTACTTTAAATCATTTGTTTGTACTTTTAGCTCTAAAGTTTACGGGAAAAAATCTAAAGAGACCCTTATGTTTTTTAACGTGATGTGTGCACAAGGGACGTGCTAAGCGCGTGTTTAGTTTCAGGAATTTGGAATTTGGGGTTACTGTAGCACTTTCGTTTTTATTTGGCAATTAGTGTTTAAACATGGACTAATTAGGCTCAAAACATTCGTCTCGCAATTTCCCACCAAATTGTACAATTAGTTTTTTTCGTCTACATTTAATGCTCCATGCACAGGCCACAAGCATTCGATGTGATGGCTACTATAGCACTTTTTAGGATTTTGGGTTGGAACTAAACATGAGCTAACTGACGAGTGACGTTCCCCTCAAAAAAAAAACTGACGAGTGATGTGGACGGGAGAAAACATTGCTAAACATTCCTAACTATCTTTTCCTGGATCATACGTAGTGCTACGTAAAATTCGTATAATAACACATAAAGCTGAAGGGGAGAGGAATCAATAAAAACAAAAGGGCGATGGAAACTTCATGGGAAAAATATCAAACATAAAGACTGATTGCTCACATTGCCGCCGCCTGCGTCAGTAGCCGTTCTGTGTTGACGAAAGACTTTTCTGTTTACGCGTACTCAAGAAAAAGAATGCACATCTAACACTCTGACCCCTCGAAAAATAAGATTTTTTTTTCAAGATAGAGTAATTTTGAAGAGCAAGCTTCTGTGACGGTACGTTGACCACGCATTAGTAGTTTTTCTATAACACACGCATGAGTAGTGAGTAGTGAGTACGATGTCTCACTCATTCGTGGTTAGTCTAGTATCAGTGGACAAATAGTCTGCGTGGCTTAACGGTTGTTACATCTATCAGTCTAGTCTCAATGAAAATTTTATTAGAGTTTTATGAACATTAAATAAATTAATATTACATATTTTAAATGAAGTGAGAGATGAAAATAGTTTTATAGGATGAAATGAGTTTCATAAAGACGAAATTTGTTTGCACTGTTTCCAATGTCAAGGAGTCTTGAAGGCAGAGCTATGAAACTTCTACTAAGACTGGCCTTAGGACTTATTAAAAGCTTCAATTGAAATTAGCTGGCTAATTAAAAGCTTCCAATTAAAATTTGCTGGCTAATTATTACCTGCAGATTGTTTGAAATCCATTAGCTTATAGGTCGTTCAAATGTTGTTTACCAAAAGTATCTCTGCTTTTCTACTATAGCACTAGTTAAAATTAGCTAGTTTTTCTGTTCCGAAAAAAAAATAGCTAGTTTTTCAAGGTGTTTGAAATCCACCAGCTTATAGGTCGTTGAAGTATTGTTTTACCAAAAATAAATGTGACTTCTTTACTATAGCCAAACTAATAGTTAGCCGCTAATACTGGCGATCCATAGAGATAATAGTTAGCCGTTAATAATTACTTTATCTGTTCAAAATAAATTAATTTTTAGAATTGTTTTAAGTCAAAACTTTTAAAGTTTTACTAAATTTACATAAAATATCATCAAGGTTTATAACACCAAATTAGTATAATTAGATATACCATAAACTATATTTTCATAATGTACCCATTTGATATTACAAATTGTCGGGGACCAATACTAGGGTACCCGAAGAGGATGAGCTAATGACCATCAACATTGACTCATCCGAGCAGTCAAGAGCGCGACTACAGCTCCAACCGACCCCCCGGCGCGCAAGTTCCGCCTCGCCCGACCCTTGGGTCTGCGCTCCGCCTCGCCCGACCCTTGGTTCTACGCTCCGCATCGCCCGACCCTTGGGCCTGCGCTCCGTC